AGTGTAGCTAGTGGTTTGAGTGAGACGACCATAGAACTCGAAAAAAGAATTGCGAAACTTTGCGAGGAGAGACTTTGCAGGTTGAAACTACAGGAATTGATAAGATGTTACCTGCCGGGGCACAGTCACAAACAGTTGCTACTGTGCTGCCCTCTATTGTTTGAAATGGAAGTATCGCTCGTACGTAACAGCAGCATAAATGAGCCTTTAGTGTTTTCTGATCTCAGACAATTAAACTACAACTGTTCCCTTTGTGCTCCATGTATTAGTGATCTGGAAACCTCACGGGCAGAGCCTGCAAGAGCTAAAAATCAACACTAACCAATAAAAATGTTATTTGACAACTTCTCTGTTTGTTAATGTTATAAAATATTGCTTGTACTTGCGCTTTTTTCCAAAATAAATGTATTAAATTTGAACCATATCACAGCTGAAGCTGACAGCTTCAGAGCTCAGTGTGAGGTCATGAAGAACATGACGTAATTATCACGAAATAAACACATCTCCTCTTTCAAAATAGCTTTCCTACAAGGACAGAGGCTGGATTTAAAAAAAATATACAGCATATTATTCATCACCCAGGGCAGTATAATCTAATGCGGCAGTGATTGCGAAGACTGAAGTTGGCTTTAAAAAACAGAGAGGGGCTTTTGAAATGTTGCTGCTGTCACACCAGAGGTCAGGTAATCTCATATAATAGGATCCTGCATCCGCGACCACAGAGCACATGATGGACGACACCGAACATCTGGTTCATAAATATCATATGGATCCATCACAGCATCACAATCAATCCCTACGTGGTGACAGTTCCTCTCAGACCTTGTTCCTAAAGGAGCTCATAAAGCAGAGGTGATGACAAATCTCGTGCTGAAAGGCAAACACTCCACATTTTAAATATATCAGACAAGCCCCCCCTCAGGTCAATGGCACAGGTAATTTCTCAGTCGGCGGCGGCAGGTTTAAGACCCGACGTCTAAATCATGTTCATGGAGTCGAGCTGTGGAGTCGGCACGTCGAGCACAATCGGAGAAGAACGGCTACAAATATTTGTCAATGGATTGTTTTCGGTTGGGTGGTGCTACAGAAATTTAGCAGTTCAAGAACCGTGTTTAATCAAATGAGGACTTCAAAGTAAAATTCTCACTGACAAGCACTGACTTTTTTCTATATCACAGTTAGTAAGGACTCTTACAGAGGTCGTATATTATGTCGAGAGGAATTTGACAGCAATTACAGATAATTACACTCAGTGACGACAATCAGTGATACCATGTAATTCTCACAAGATACCATAAAGTACTGTAGATGCTATATTGATACTCACATTACTGCAAATATTCTCAGGTGTTATTTTGAATATAAGTGGGAAATTTCAATTTTTTTTCACACTGTGATACCAGGATGAAGAGTCGGCACATGATTAATATTTTGACATTTTGATGCAAAACACGGGACAAATCGAAACCTTCGAAAGATTAAGTCAAATTAATTATTGATAACCACATTGTTAAGTCTAATGTTAAGTTATTAGCGTAATTAATCAGTTGGGTTTTAGCCTATTTTGCATTAAACAGGGAGGAACATGCAAATATCCTACTTGTGAACTTTCAACACAGAAACACAAAGAAGAAAACTGATGGCAGAACATTAATAATTATCCTTCAGAATCATCTGTCAAACAAAGACATGTTTAATTATTGTAAATGGCCATTGTTTCTATCAGTTACCATGATATTATACAAACTGAATAATTTACTCGTGTGGGGAAACAAAGCTACATTAATAATATCCAATATAAACCACTTTATTTAGAGGTAATTTGGAGTAAATAGTTGTGGTGTTGTGGTTGCCCGTCTCCTGAGGTGGGATTACCAACAGGGCCATATAATTAGCTTCATCCACAGGAAGTGGCAACAGAACAATGGCCACACAAATGGGTAAAAACAGGGATGAGATTGTCGTGGCTGTAAATCTTGTAATGAACCAATTAACGTCTCATTAAACATGAGTCATGACTTGACTTTGTGAGTACAATGTTACTGTGACTGACAGAAACCATGGCCAAAAGCTAAAAAGAAAAATATAGATACAACAAACGAGTATTACTTTTAAAGCAGTGATTCCTATCAGCTGTTTTTAAACTGAATTGCTGCATGTTCACCTTAGAGGAAAAACAGGAGCTGTCAGGACTTGATCATGTATCAGACTCCAGAGAACAGACTGTAATTAAAGATGGACTCAACTTCCCCTCGTACAAACCTGAAGCTAAATTATTCCAGATGTGCACATCGCCATCTTGAACTTTTAAGATCATTTGGAGACTATGCAGTAGTGATGGTAACGAGGTCCCACTGACACATGAGCTCGACCAATCCTAAGTCAACCATGACATTTCTTTACGTTTTTACAGCATCAAGTAACTAATTAAAACTTAATGAGAAAAACAAAAACTTGAACATACAGTACATCAGTGTCACAACAACTGCCTAACTACCTGAGAAAAATTACTGTTTAGTTTGGTCCATGTTCCATCCACTAACATGGAGGAGGCTGGGTTTATGACATGTACTGCAGCCAGCCACCAGGGGGCAATCCAAATGATTTAGCTTCAATTTTGGGAGGTTGGAATGTCGTCCATCTTTATGTACAGGCTGTGTCCGAAATCACCCAATAATTAATTAACACTTACTTTGCTATTAAGTGTCTATATAGTGAGCGTATCCAAAAAAAAAAGTACATTAAGTATTAATATGTTTAAGTAAAAGAACATTTTGAATGACCATATTTAAATGTAGAAATTAACCTTTTTCTCAGTTTGTGCTGTGATGCTCTGGTCGTATTTTACATTTGTACGACAGGTCGGAATGTTCCTGCTGCTCTCTCTTGTCTCTGCGCCATGAGCTCAATGCATGATGGTACATCTTGATTGGTTAGTGGCCATCACTACACATTATTTTTCACGATGCATTGTGGGAAACAATGAGTGCACAATATAGGGTATTAAAAATGTCACTTAACATTCAGACAGCACTATAAAATGGCGAACTCACTATATGGCGGACTATATAGTGATTAGTGAGTGATTTTGTACACAGCTACAGTCTATGCTCTGCAGGTTACTTGTTAAGGATACTGGTTTAACTTTGTTAATTCAATATATTGTGTCCACAGACGCTCTCATACACACTCAAACACACACACTTGTTACAAGCCGACCTAAAGACAACCCATGCTGGATTTATAAACAAAGCTGGTGCAAATAATTTTCTTCAGTTTCACACTCATAATTTCTCTGCCCTACTTTTTACAGCATACGTATGAGTCATGTTAACACACATTCATGTTTAGTGCTGCCCTCATATAATCTTCACCACCCTGAATAAGCTTTTGGAAAAAAAAGGGAAAAACAACAACATTATACAAATGTCAACACATTAATTGCCTTAGTTGACAAACTGGTAGCATCCGACTACCCTCGATACCTGACTGTGCATGCTGTTTCTATAAAGTCAACAACGTCACAAGATGAACCCATTCGCTTTACTTCAGACTAATACAAGACAATGCTAGTTGGTTAGGCACATACAGTACATCTCAGCAGACTTGGAAGCATTTTAATCTGCCGAGAACTACAATTAAATAGATCTGAACAAAATAAACATGTCTAATTTTGGTCGTTTTGTGTATCATGCCATGAGCTTGAAAATACAAAGTGTACAAGAAAAACAAGAATCCGACCTCAGTTCTTAATTAATGGGGTTGGCTAAAGTGCTATAGATTGATTTTCTCACTGAGTCCTTCCCTCTCTGCCAAGGTTTTGGACACAAACTAATAAATTAATTTGACCGCCAAAAGACCAACGTCCCTCCTTGCAAATGTTCCTATTTTCTTTGGCTTTCACTTCTGCAGTTTCTTATCATACTTCAAACTTAAATTCACAATCAATAGTTTTTCTCCAAACCTCTACCATCATGTCATATCCTTGCCCAAGAAGTAATGAAGTCAATGCACAAAACAAATAGAGTAAGGAACATGATAAATGCAGATATTCAACATTGCTCATGAAGTGAAAAGGCTGAATCAAAAGTTGCATAATTTGTCTACAATTTAACTTCAGGATGTTCCTGTAATAATCTGGAATGCTCGTCATGACATTGTTTTTTTGTACATTTTACTTATTTTCAAAATAGGTAAAACGGGAACAAAACCTCGGAAAGGAAGGCAACTTGTGGAGTTAGATCTACTTTTCTTCCAAGTCACCATACTAATAGTAAAAGGTAATATTTAACGATTTTCAAAGTGAAAAAAAGTATACATCAATTACTATAATTTCAGAAGTCCGTTAATGTTTAGTGTCATGCCTTCTTGCTTGATGTGCTATCATCGAAGTCCCAGGGACAAACATCTGCCTTTTTAGCAGCAGTTACGACGCCACCTTTAGGATTTGGATTGCTCTGTTTGACCACAGAAGCACTCTTGTCTGTATCTTTTTTAGCTGATGTATCCTCAAAATCCCATGGACAGACTTCAGCCGGTTTTGGTTTGGCCGCTCCAACATTTGCGCTTTTCCTTTTTTCCACCAACGGCACTTCCTGATGACTCTCTACATCCCATGGACAAACCTCAGCCAGTTTTTGAGGACTTGCCTGCTTCTCTGATGATTTACTCTTGTCCTTAGATTTTGCTCTACTTTTCTCATCATCAGTGTCTTTAGATTTCTCTTGGTCAAGTGTTCTTGTGGAAGGGGTAACCTTCTTTTTTGAAAGGTCTTCCTTGGTTTTGGCAACTTGAGAGGGACTAGGTGTCCTCTCAGAATTTGGAGATATTGCAGTACTGTCATAGTCCCAGGGACATACATCAGCTTTAGAAGTTGGTGGCTGGAGTGAGCCTCCTACTTTGGATGGATCTGAAAGGGTACTTTTTCCTCTACAGTCCACTGGAGATGTGCCTTTTTTCTGCATTGTCATATCTGATGAGCGAGACACTTCTGTTGTCTTTTGAGGCTCCTCAAAGTCCCAAGGACAAATGTCTACCCGAGCTGTTTTGGGGTTTTCTACTGCAGAATGAGGCTGCTGGGTTTTAGCAAATTGACTAGTCTGACTTGATAATTGCTGCTTAGACCCTTCCACTTGACTAACGTTACTCTCACCTCCGTCCTCCCATGGACAAACCTCTGCTCGAACAGCAGTCGTCTTCTGAATCTCCTTAGAATTCCTTCCACTCGAGTGATCAGAAGCTTTCTGCTTCTGAGATTTGCCTCCCTTGGTGCTCCCTCCATGAACTGTCGTGGTTTCCTTTGGTGCGATAGATACATGCTTTTGGACTTTGTTTTCAGATGGAGTTGGGACATCTTCCACTTCCCAGGGGCAAACTTCTGAGAGATCGTAGAGGTCCTTTCCCTTGACTGGATCGGAACAGATTGTTGGCTCGCTACCACTAACCGGCTGTTTAATGTTCCTACCTTTTGCCGCACTCTGTTTGTATTCAACCGACTGGCTGATAATCATCTTAGATGGGCCTTCATTTTCTGGCTCTGCACTGGACCTTGTCTCTTTGCACTTTGACTGAGTCTTCTTATTGCTGTCCTCTGCACTCGGGGCCTTTCCTGTCAAACCCAAAGTCTTCTCTTTGGCACTGGCAATGACACTGAGTGACTTCTGCAGCATTGAAGCTCTGGGATGAATTGGTTTCTTATCTGCAGTGAGGTTATGGGCGCTGGCAGACTTGCAGACCAAAGGGACAGATTCTGTAGATTCACTAGGGACACTTATATTCTCACTAGATTTCTTCTTGACCAGTTTCTTGCCCATAAGCGTATCCAGGAGGGATCCTTCTGCCGGGGTCACATCCATCTTGTCTGTTGCCAAGCTGTTGGAGTCTTTGTTCTGGTCACGGACGTGGTCGTAGCTACTGTGGGACTTCTTCAAGGAGAAAACCTTGTTCTTTAGCGTTTCCTCCTTGGCTGGTTTTCCTGGGTGAGGTGGATCGAAAGGACTCTTTTTCAACATGCATATGCTGTTACGATTGCTCCCATGTTCTCCAGACTCCTTGTCTTCCCGGCTGCATTGACGGTGCACAGATTCAGGAATTTCAGTGATGCGCCTCATCAGCGAGCGCCCCAGCCCTTTCTTGGAGCTGCGTTTCTTCTGGAGATGAGGATTGTTTGCCAGCATCTTCTTCCTCTTGTAAATCTCCAACTGGGAGTAGAGTTTCTTCAGCTCCTCCTAGACATCGATGCCAGAATGTTTGGAAAGACAAAAGAGAAGCGTTCAGTCTCTTGTTACAAACGAATATATCTGTATTATCACAATCAAAACACTGTAACGGAAAAGCAGACACTCTAATGCACAGAGAACATGCCGTACAAATCCATGACACGTGACTACAAACAGTTGTTAAGTGATGCACTACGGAATATCACATGCGAGCTGAAAGAAAAAGCAAAGACAGGACAGTCCTGAACAGCTTTAAATGAGGAAACGAAGTGTGTATTGATGTTAGGTCTGAAACAGCCTCTAAGCTTGAATTAATCACATATCTGTCACCATCCCATTAAATGAATGCTTTTGTCGTCATAGTACCACTCCCTCTGGTAATATTATTGAGGTGCCAAAATATTTTACTAGAGAGACTTCTTCAGCTCTAACAGACAAACAGAAATCTCTGCTCACGTTGGTACGTTTTTCCCAATGACTGTCACAAGGCCTTACGCCACAGCCATTAATAGAACTGAGATGGCCCATTTCGTCTGGTGTCTGCAATAAAGAACTGCCATGGCTCAGTATTTTTGGTAGGATTTTTAAAAAGTATTACCAGGTTATACATTGGAGATGGAAAGGTAAACGGAAGCCTCGTCTTACCCGAATGTCCTCGGGGTCCAAACTGTGTTCGCTCCATGCAGAGGTTATGCTGCTGTTTAGGTACGACCCAGATCGACCCATGTCCAGCTCGTCCTCATAGGCCTCAGAGGCTATATCATCTCTCATGTGGGTGCCAGCAAACAGGAACTAATGGAGTGGCATAATAAAAGTCCCATACATCAGATCATGAATATATTATGGCCTGTTTCAAATTTCAAAACAAAGTAGATGTTCTCATACTGATGTCAGCATCTGCAATGCCTCCAATACTGCAGATAGTAGATTAGCAAGCATGCAAATCTATGTACTGATTTGATTCTGTGTCTTAAAGTATGTCAATTTCTCCAAGATAAAACTGCAATTTTGGAGATTACGTCTTCTTCGCCACTTTAAAAAAAATATTTACTGGTACCAGTACAGTGCAACTGCTCTTTATGAGCCGCAATAAACTGCAATTAGCCTGAGCAGACGAGTTGTATTTGTTTTCACAGTGGTTAAACTGAGCCAGGCTGTACGAGAATGATAGCAATCATCACTTCCATACAGGGTTAGTAGCATACAGCTGTTAAAATGTATTTATTCTATTGGCTGTCATCAGAATCAGTATCAGCTTAGCAGAAAAATGGTATCACAACAAATACATAGTCTCAAAAACAACAGCAACATTTGACTTTTCTTGGGCATGTGAAGTAAACAGAAAACTTGCAAACTTCACCTTAGGAATGAGGAGCAGACCCAGTGCAACTGTGATAGTTAAGTGGGTGTGGGTGAAGAACAGAAGGAGCATCCAGTCTGGATGGAGCTCAGGGGCAAGAGTGAACCTGTCAGGATACAAATAGAAAAAAAAAAGAGTAGATGGAGAGAAAAGAGAAAGAGAAAAATACAAGAAATTGAATCTACATATGACAGATGCCTCCAGATGTTCTCAGAATGAAAGTGCTATTCATTACGTGTGTTAAAAAGCCTTATGATAGCTGATTGAAATTGAAAATGCACACACAGTAACTGCAATGAAGTACGACCAAATTATGTTGTGACGTCGACACACTTTGCTCCGTCGGCAGTAAACCTCTGAGATACAGATGGAGCCGGGAGAGACGGACGCCTGCAGACTTAATGAGTTTTCAGCCAAAGTAGATTTACACACTGTCCGTCCAGGCGTCAAGTCCACTGCCTCGTATAATGCTCCACTCGACTGATCCCTTCTTCCAGCAAGGACACCATATTTTTCCTTATTCTTTCAATTGGATTCACAACAAAGGGGATGTGACCTTGATCTGGTCACAAGATGCAGCCTATTAATACACCAGACAGCAAAACACTGGGCCCGCTGTGGCACTGCAGTTGGTGGAATATGAGATAATTACTGGCAGAAACAATAGTGCGTGCGAGGGGTAGCTCAAGTCTTTTATTTAAAGTGAACTAACAGGCTTTTCAGCACAGTGAGACCTTGAGCTCACCGAGGATATGAAAGCACGTCCTGTCAGATGCTAATTCAACCAGCCGAGAGTCTCTATCCAAGCAAATGTCATCTAGCAGCTTCATTCCATTGTTGAAGTTGGCAAATGGCTAATTAACGAACAGTTACTGTACTAAGAGCTCAGAGGCATGAATGAAGGCAAAGGTCCTGCATGTGAAATGTCCCAAAGCTTTGAATCTTCGCTCCTTCCTGTTTTACGGGGAGTTTCTGTGCAGATGAGGATTTAATAACCTCGGCACGCTGTCTCCCCCTCCGCCTGCAGCGTCACACCGAACCACTCGCCATCACTCAACACCCCCCGCAGTGACGTTGCCATCATTTTCTCTCCTCATCCCATTCGCACCTGGACCTGATACTAAAACATGACGACTACCACGGCAAAGGAAGGAGCTTTAACTGGCCACTGTGGGATCAAATAGACGATTCTGCGAGTAACACAAACGGACGCCTGTAACAAGCTCCAGTGCACAGTGTGGTCTCTGGTGGCAGTCAGTCAGAATCAACTCGCCACACCAGGCAACTGTCCAATTTATTAGGGGTCTCGTCTGGTCATTTTGTGCAGAGAAAAGATTCACAGTAAAGCAGAGTAACGCAGAACCAGACGTTCAAATATATCAACTAGAAGAAACCATCAGGCTGTACGTCGAAGATACATCGATGTTATGTTATAGGTGCCAGTAGTTGTTCTGATATGGTTCATTGTTTAATAATATGATGGAGCTGAGGTTTTGGGGGGGGCTCCTCATTTATAAACTGCACGGTGCAGCTGTTTGACATGTACACTGGAGGGAGAGGGCTGATTTCACTACAATGGATAAAAAACAGAAACAGCTCCCACATGAACAGAAGGGTTGAGCCTCATTCAGCCTATATGTGATGCAAATGAGACAATCTAGTGGAAGACATAAATGTCAAAATGACACCAGCGAGCAAACGCCATGATATTAAATATGGAGCCGGTAACTGTGGAACATGTTGTAAATGGAAGTGACAGCATCTGTACATGTTGAGGATGATGCGTTTGTGGGTAATTGTGTTTTATCCTCCCCGGAGCGGATGTGTGGATGTGACTGCACCAGGAACTGATATTTATTACAGAAGTTTAAAGGCTAAATTCTCGCAAATAACACAAATACAACTTCCCTATAGTGGCTTCTAGAGACACGCAGTTGTCTCTACACCAACACAGAGCATTCAAGTATGGAGTTGAATTGAGAAATGAAAATGTGTTGCAAAGTGTGGTGGATTTTCTGACTCTCACATTGATGCGATGATGATTTTTCTTTTGCTTACAACCCAATTATACACTTACCAACTTTGACAAAGCAGAATTATCTTTAAACTAAATATCATACTATTATCCCAACAAAACAAAGAAGATCCTTTCTTCGCTCGATATTTCTCTGTGACTGACATTAATGAGGCTGCTCGCTGACTTAATGTCTCGTTTCTACTGGTGCTTCTGTTGAACAGCGGTTTATTGGAGAATAAGACTTTTTTTAATGAGTCATTAATATGACTTTAATGGAAATGCATTGATTATTTTTGGAAACTGGTTAGATATGGACATTATTACATTAAGTGTATGCTGCCATGCGTCTTCTTTTTATTTAACTTATTTCATTGATGTGAGAACTTGGACAAATAATCATATTTAATGTGGATGAAGCGAACCTTGTTTAATTCACATATACTCGCTAATGAATCCAGATGACTGGGGGTGAGAGGCGTTACCTGATGACATGGAATATCGCTGACAGGACAAGCTCGTTGTGAACGGCGATGGCCATGTAGCGAGGCTCGTGGAACGCCGACGGCACCGTCCTCACGGCGTAACACAGATACACTGCCCACAGCAGGAAGAGGAACTCAGCTGTGAAGCAAGAATGAGAGAAAAGGTGCCGAACACATTGAAGACGGGCGAAGAAATCGTTTATATGCAGTGCACAGGACAAAAAGTCACATGCACACACCAACTCGCCGCCAATCCATTGTTCAATGCTCTTATGGAGAAAACTGTTGTACAACACAGGTTTACAGAAAAATGTCCTGCTCACAAAAGCTGTCAAACTCATTTATAACAGCTGTGGTTGTTTTCTCCGGAGAATAAATGGATCCTCGTGCACCAGCATGGCAGCTCCAGTGGGAACAACAACTGGTCATTTGTGGAAGTGTTATTTATGACAGGGCAAAAATGTAGAGAGACATATATTTAAAACCTCATGACAAAGAAAAGTGTGTTGCGGCTTTATTTACCTGATTATAGCGATAAAGCATCATTAACCATTAACAGAGTCATAATCTGCACTCTTTATAAACTCTCCAGTTTAGGAGACATAAAAGCTTTGACCGTAAGTGTTTGTGGTGAACAAACATAAAACAAATGCTGCTAGTTCTGCAATAATACAAGAGAGGTCTGCATAAATCTGATGTAATACACTAGATCAATTATCTAACACATAATTGCGTTGCTGAAACTGCTTTGTTGTGCTTTAGCATGTTGGGTTTTTTTTTGTTGACGTCAGAGCTGACCTGCACATTCCTATGGCCGGGCCTATTTTTACCCCCCGATGAACAGAGAGAGAATCTGTCCTCGGTATACAGTATCGCAGCGTGTCGTCTCTGCTGGGGGTCCATTCGTTTTGCCCAGAAGTCAAATAGGACCGCGTTTTTCCCTCCCTCATGAAGCCTGAGTCAGCAGGCGTGAAAAAACAGAATGCAGATTTCCTCAGTGCTGAGATGCAGCCCCGCCCCCCCCGCTGAGCTTCGTCGATGCTTCATCATGTCTTGATTCGCTGCTGGTTGCCTTCTCCTCCGCGCAGAAACACAGGAAAACACCCAAAAGTGCAGCACCAGGGGTGAGGATTAATTTCTTCTTTTGGCAAACATGAGAGCGCTGCCAAATGTAGATGGAGGCAAACTGACGCACTCATCCCACTTCTCCTCATCACTCACTCTTCCCTCATCTCTCTTACACTCTTTGAACTCCTAATGTATCGTGCCAGACAAATTACTTCTGGATTTTCATGCCATGAATACCTCAAATAACCCATGTTTCTCTCTGTGGTGCACAAACAGAATGAAGCGTGCATTAATCTATCTGAACACCCTGTGGACGTGGAGGGGCAGCTCACCGACGGCCATCATGTAGTCCCAGCGATCCAGCAGACACATGCTGAACTGCAGCCCGTCGGGCGTGTAGCCCACGTCGATGAGAGCGGACTTCCTGTCCGGGTTCTGACAGACGGCAGATGTCCACGCCACCAGGAACCAGCAGACGATGAGGAGGATGATGCCCAGCAGACGCAGAACTCGCCAGCTGGTCATGTAGGGGATCCTCTGGGCTGTCCGGGAGAGGAACACCTTCAGCACCCTGTGAGGAGGAGGAGGTGGGGGAGAAGAGACGCTCAGAATAACATGGAAATACACTGTAGATTTCAAACTGACCAGACAGCATCTGTGATGGGATGCGTTATTGTAGATCACAACCAATAAGAGTTTTAAGGATTTTAACCTTTTATCGTATCTACTGTCCATGTGCGACCATAGACTAAAGCAGAATAACATTTCCAGTGACTCTTTCCTCTTCTATGTTTAATACACGAAGCCGTAAACGCACAGAAACACAAAGACCACGCAACAGGAATTAAATTCAGCTGGAACACGTGACCAGCCGTCGCTATTCTTAGGCTCTGCCCTTCACGCACATTGATGAAGTGTCCACTGCACTCGCCGCTAATGAGCCCCCCATCAAAAATTGATCTATGCAATATGTTGACTCGCAGCTCTGAGGGTTTACTCGCATTAGCCACATCCCTTTAATCACCATCTTCACCGGGCCTTTTTGACAGATCCACCTGACAGAAAGACCCACGGAAGAACAATTTCAAGTGCGTTGCTTTAAATGCGGCGGAGCTGCTGTCTCATTATGGGTTATTCAGTGCTGGAAATCCTCCCCTGTTCTCTCACCCCTCTGGCAGTCGTTATATATGGAGATCATTTGGGACCAGAGCACTGTGCTGTCACACTGTGTGGGCCTAAACCTTCCATGTATGTCTAACTTTATTAAAAAACACTGCTCGCACTTCGCTAATCACCAAGTAAAGATACACAAACACTAAAGTAACTCATCATCTTCATCTGCACCGCTTATACTTTGAGGGTCGCAGGAGGAGCTGGAGTTAATCCCTGCTGACACTGGGCCAATGTGTGTGTGTGTGTGTGTGTGTGTGTGTGTGTGTGTGTGTGTTACCTGTACAACTTCAGAGTCAGTGTCCCGTAGACAGTCGCAAAACCCAGCAGTCGGACCCATCGCAGCAGGATGCATCGGAAAACACTCGGCTGGAAGTAAAGAATCCCGACCTGCAATAAAGAAAGAACGACTGATTTCCAACTCTCAAGTCCAGGTATCATCCCTGTCTTATTAAAGATGGCCGCCTGTTGTGTTTAAACCACTGTTGAATATATATGAGTTTAACTGAACCAAGACTTTTTAACATATTGAGAAATTAAAATGAATTATTCCAATTCAAATCGGATAAAGTCAAGTTATAGAAAGGAGTTGAGTTGAAGATCACCTGAACCTCACAACCTCAGACCTCAATCATTATCTGAGAAACTAATTCCAATAATTCTAATGAAGCAGAAGATAATGATTTCTACATTTACATAATCTTTCCCACACTGCTTCTATTGTACTAACTATAATTTAAAATACATGGATATTGCAACACCAGCACGGCTCTAACTCTACCACTGATTCATCTTTTGGAGGTTCACCTCTCTCTCTCTCCTGAAACTTTAAATGATAAATCAAAGAGGAAATTTCATGAGTCACATTGACTTTAACAGTTAAAACACGATCTGACAGAAGCGCGGTGACATTTTACATCCATCCCTGGCATTACTCCTGACACGGCTCCATCTGACGCTGCTCACATCACAGAAAAACTGCCCTTGAGACGGAGCCGAGGATCCACCCGTGTTTGCTGCAAAGACCGAGAAACGCACAGACTTGGCGCCCATGCAAAAAAAAAAACACACGCACACTGATGATCTTCCAAAGGAATAAAAAAAAAAAAAATCACCAAAACAAACACAAGCACAAAACTAGAGAAAGACACAAACATCTGAGGCAACACAATTATCTGTCCATTGCAGATGTGCAGCGATTTCCCCTGTGGGATTGTTAATGGTAATCGGATTAGCCGGGCCATTAATACGTTCCCTCAGGCAGCAGAGAAGACGAAGGCTTGTGGATATTTTCGCTCAGTAGGTTTGAGTCGGTTAAGGGACACGGAGGACCTCACGGGAGAGATGGTGGGCCACACCGTCATGTGCACAGAGACACGTGGTCGACCAGTAAAACTTCTGACATGACTCAGCTGTCTCACATCTGCAGCATGGAGCAGCCGCTGAAACTCCATCTCAGACCATCGATGAACACAAACTCACATTAAAAATAAAAGTAATGTTAGAAAAACAATGTCCTCAGTGTATTCCTGACGAAACAAGAGAGGAGGCACAGGAGCCGATAAAGAGACATCAGGCCGAGCAGCCTCTCAGCAACTTGCTGACGCACGTTCGGCTCCGCAGGGACAGAACGGGGGCACAGGAAGAGCAGTACAAAAAAAACACACCGGGGGGGAAACACGGCTTCCGACTTGGTTTTCGATAAACTGCAAAATAGCAGCTGGATCTCGGTCACGTTCCACTTTAGGCCCGGTGTTGTTCGTGATGAGACAGAAACATGCAGCTGTTCCCCGGAGGCTCAGCTTTAAACGATGTGAGCGAGTCTCAGGAAAAAGTTTTTATCACATTTATTTTGTTCTTTAAAAAGGTGAGATCACATAATTTTCACCGGTTGAAACCACAATGGGAAAGTTTTATATTTAGTTGCGGATTCAAAATGTACAGTGGGAATTCATTTTAGTGTGTAACTCATGTTAGAACTTGAGTTTTTGGGACATTTGTAGATTTTCAACACACAAAATCCAATAAAAACTCACTGGTTAACTTTCTATTCTATCATCTGATACAACAATGTCAATTCTCCAATGTCCTCATCGCATCTTACTCTGAAAATAAGCTCAGTCATCGTCCGTGACTCCTCATGACCACATCCTGCGATATTCATTACGTAATCCGCTCGCTCCGCCGCTGCACTTCCCATCAGGAGGGTTTCTGGGAAGAGTCTGGCAGTGACCCTCGGGCAGTTTTCTCTTCACGTAAGCGAGCATAAAGAGTAAGATCGGTTTCTCTCCTCCTCCTCCTCCCTCCATCCTCTTCTTCTTTCAAACTTTCCATTAATAATCGATGCTGAGTGCTGGGAATGTTGAAATCAGCGCTGTGAGAAAGGAAAGGGATCGGGTGTTGTTCTGCAGCGTGTGTGTGTTTACGTGCAGCATAAGTGCGTGTGAAGGGATTGAGAAGATCAGGGGGTGTATACCTGTCTAATGGACGTCAATACGAAGGAGACAATTATCAACACACTCTCTGCTCTTCAGCTCGCCTCTCGGTTACAGCCTGAGTATCTGGAAGTGCTGAGCGTTGCCAAACATCTTGCAGACGGCATTTAGATTTAGTGATTATTCTATAGAGATTTTTTTGTGTTTCAGAAAGAGGCTGAAAAAAGGAGCTGCAGCAATGGACCTTCTGAGGAAAGTGATGTTTTCTGAACATTAAAGCATGTGAACCTTTTTAAATAATAACACTAATTATAATTATCAGCCCGAACATCCTTTTAAGTATCTGTCCTTCCGAAAAGGATAGATTTTAGGTGTCCCTGCTGAATGTCTCCCATCTGCCGACCTGGACTCCAGACACCTGATTTAACACAACCTGCTTCTGCATCCACCCTCCGAAGCAAATTCTGTCATGTGGGAAACTGTAAACCAGAGCAGAGTGTTCAAGAGATCTGAGAGGAAGAAACTTAAAGTTGTGAAAGTACTGGATGTCTAACTTACTGACAGAAACACTCCTATATCTTATTTCTCCTTCACAGCCTGGCATCAGTCTTCTGTTGAATTGATTTGACTGAATTGTCCCTCGAGGACCTTCTGTCGAGGACACACCTGAGAAACTGATCCTTAATCCAGATGTTTGAAGGAAATGTCTCGTCGCTAAGAAATGAAGACATTCAACCTTTACAAGAAATTTATAGGAATTTGCAGAAATATACTTTGATTGATTGCATTGGTACAGCAACATGTCACAGCCTGGTTAGCTTAGCTTAGCATCAAGACTGGAGGCAGGTGGAAACAGCTAGCATGGTTCTGTCCTAAGGAAACTGTCTGCACCTCTAGAGCTAAAACGAATGTGATCTAATCCATCATTTGTGGTTTTGTGATGCGGACAACATCAGGCAGTCGAGTCAGCATGTCCTCTGCCACTTGTGTCTCTCATAATGCGTCAGTTGATGTTTTTATCCTTGTTGTTGTTTTCTTAATGGTGCACGTGTCCTGTTGTGCACATATTAACCTGACAGCGGACGTTATAACACAGAGTAGGTCTCGGCTCGCGCTCTAATGAAGAGCGACTCGTGGGACGGTGACTAACAAGTGTTTTGTTCCTGGACAATGACGGGACGTGTCGGCTGTTGATGGGAACATCAGCAGCTGTTGTTGGTTTAAACATGTGACGTGTAGATGGAGCTCAGCCTCTGACCATCGACTACACATATCCAACATAAAGAAGAAAGTATTTTCCACTGAGATGTTGTTTCTTTGCTCTAATATTTAAATACGTTTGCTCTTGATGGGACCAACAAGGTGCAGTGTCGCATTTTGTGCAATTTGGACACGTGCTTCATTCAATATTATATAAACTTTGAATAAACAGCAGCTTCAGGGTTCAGCAGCACGTCTTTATTTGCTGTGGCTCAAATACTGCAGGTCACTTTTACAGGGGTTTGAGAGAAAGAGAGAAAGGAAGTGGGAAATATCTTACTTCGTTTAACACTAAAATTGTGTAACATTTAACGCAGAAATTAGTAAAGGACTGAGAATAGGGTTTCAGCAGGTTTACATGATTAACATTCATGATAAATAGAGTCATCTCTTCGCGTGTCTGTCAGAATATTCAACGAGAGCGAAGGGAGGCGAAAAGCACAGACAGCAGCGAGATTCACACGCTCACCCACTCACTCATTCAATCAACGCTCGCTCACTTAATTTGCAGTTATCTTTCAATCCTGATCGTTCCTCGTCTCAGCACCCACCAGCTGGCTCCACACAGAGCCTCGGTGGGTTGGTTGGTTACCCACTCGAGAGTGTCCCTTTTGATGCACCGCTGACGACAGCCAGCCAGCTGTGGTGTGAGCGGAGGCTTTCCAGGGAGCTGATCGGATGTTGGCTAACCCCGCGCTCACCGACACTGGGTTTTTAATTTTGCCTCTGAGTCGAGTCTGATTGATTGTTTTGTCCATTCTGAAAAGAGCGTGGACGGTGTCCTGGTTTAATTGCTGCGTTAACACCGAGGAGACGGAGGAGAGCGGCAGCCTGTGGCACCAGCTGAACTGAGGATTGAGTGTGAAATCAGTGATTATATCAAAACTAGTTCATTTCACACTGAAGTGACCAGTTTGTTCTGTGTCATGGTTACGACAGATTACTTAGGTTTCCCGAAAGTGAAGCAAAGCATGTGGATCGCCCCCTGGTGGCTGGCTGCAGTGTAAGTCATTAACCTTGCCTCCTCTATGTTAGCTGATGGGACAAGGACCAGACTCAAGAGTCAGAGTCCAACTTTGTTGTGTTGTGACCACACTGACTGAAGTAGATGGCTGCAAGTCGGAAAATACACTCAACAGATTTCTGTGTGCTCAGAGCACAAAACGCTGAATGTAAACACAACTTTTGTTTGTTTACGGAAAGACTCTCGAGGGAAACTTTAAAGTTTCTCATCTGAGAGAAGCAGCATCAAGTCAAACACCCGTCTTTTCCACATAACGGTCGACCAACTGTTCAGCTGCATGAGTCTTAGTGTGTCTGTCAGCTCCCTCATAATTCACCATATTCTCTATTTCAGGGTTTATTTTTGACACAGGCAGTGTGTGACAGTGGTGAAGGTGAAACTGCTGCTCAGGGAAAAGAGGATGGAGGTTTCTATAATTTCAGTTTCTAGATTTATTCATGGCAGCATCACAAAATGTTGAAGGAGCATGGATGCAGTTTGCATGCCTGCATGTCTGAAATCAGGTTTCTGACTTAAATTGCGTCACCAGGAATGAAGACGTTTCCCTTTAGACATGTGGACAAACGCTGTGTGAAGTTGATTAAATGTGACCTTAACTGGAGTACGACTAAATGTAAACACAGCCGGTGTCGGTGGCGAACTTTAATGTGATAAAAACAAAAACTCTGGCA